GGTAGTGAGGGCTGGGCTGGAAAGGCGCGTCCAGAACAAGGGCGCCGAGCCGGGTGGGCAGCTCCCTAGCTTCTTAAATCTCGTCGCCGTCGTGTTTTCCTCAAGTTGAAGCGGGGAGGGAGCAAATGTCTCCTGAGGCGATGGGCCTGGGTTTTGGGCAAAGGTACCGGTCCAGTGGTGAGACCGGCTTGCGGCAGGGGAGAAACTGCCATCCATCAGTGAGCTGTTGCCTGCTGCTGCGCGGGGCTGCCCGTGGGATTAGCTATACCTCTGCGCTGCTCAGCTCTTACTCTGGCGCTTTTCCTGGGTAGATAGCATCTGGACAACGGCAAAAAGTGTATGAGAATCAGCTGGTGTTTCCCTCCGAGAGTTGTATAAGCAGACCTTCGGGACTTGTTAAAATACAGCTGTCATGTGATAGCACAAACTTGATTATAGACATGTCTACTTGTGTAAAGAAACTTCTTCAGAAATTTTCGCGTCTTTTATCTGAGTGCAAAATCTGCACCCATCAATCACTCTACTAAAAGCTGTTTAAAATTATGTTTAATCTACTGACTAAATATCCTTGGAATACCACATTTCATAAAATAGAATAGAATAGACTGTTGCAGTTGGAAGGGACCTACAACAATCATCCAGTCCAACTGCCTGACCAATTCAAAGCTGACCAAAAGTTAAAGAATGCCTTCTAAATACTGACAGGCTTGGGGCATCAACCACCTCTCTAGGAAGCCTGTTCTGGTGTCCGACCACCCCCTCAGTAAAGAAATGCTTCCTGATGTCCAGTCTGAACTTCCCCTGGCGCAGCTTTGAACCATGGAAATACTTTACTCTGTTTCGCATCTCCATACAAAACTCAGAACTTATTGCTATTTTTAAAGTCTATGTAATTTCATATCTCTGTCGTGTCCTAGACTAAGCTTGTTTCCTTGAAAGGGGAATCTTGGGGCTGGTGGATTTCCTTATGCTCAGGAATCAGGGACATTAAGTCAGTCACAAAAATGCAGGGATGGCTATTTGGTCTGGTTTGGTTCAACTCCCAAGAAACAGAAGAGGCATGGTTCTAAGGGACCCTGAGAAGTTTGTTTTTTTTTAATACGTTTGCAGTAGTAGCTCTTTTGCTTGTTCTGTGAAGGAGACAAACCTTGGATAAGTTCCCTTTGTTTTAGAAAGAGTGCAATTCTGATGTCTTTACCCTTACCAAAGGTTTTATTGGGAGTTAATGCCACCAAAATCAATGTAGTATTCAGTATAAGCATGGCAATATTTGCCAGAGTCATTGCTTTCAAATCTCACAAATCAAACACTGTTCCAACACAGTGTATTAAAAACATAAACATTCCCAGCCACACAAGCTAAATACAAGTTTGCAGTGTTGAAGATGGCTATGAAAAGGAGCTTTATTTAAAAGGACATAGAAAGGAGTAGATTTTTCAGTCCTTCAGGTTTTCCTTCTGCAAAAGCACGTAGCCCTCGTACACAGGCTTTGGCATAGGCTACAGAGGAAAAAAAAAAAGTAATGCTCTTTCTTATTACTGTAAATGCATGTTCCTCATGAGTAACTTGAAGTTTAACTGAAACAGATTTTTTTACAGGCCTCTTCTAGTTGTGTCCATTTTGAATAATATCTGGGGTACCATACTGAAATGTGTATACTTTTTTGCTGAGTTCCTTGTATTCTTTCTTAAACTTGGCCTTACAACTGCTCCATCAGCTAGTACCATATTAAGTAAGTGCATTTTACCTCCAGGCTTTTGATCCCTCATAGATGTTAGGTATATCAATGACTTTGGGCAGGCGGTGCATGCAAATGCATACTCATACCAAGTAAATCATACGTGATCATTTTCAAACACTGTGACTCTTTGTGCTTACAAGTTGATAATTTACAGTATCTACGGGTTACAACAGAAGGTATAAAGTGGCCCAATCTAACTTTGTGTGTGGGAAGGCACCAGAGGCCTAAGCTCTACTGATTCTCTAAGGAGGAAAGTAAATGCCTCTGGAGAGCGATTCAGGTCTTTCTGAGGTAGACTGAATCCATCCAGGCTGTATGAATATCTGACTGTAGGAGGAAACAAGGTTATCTTAGACTTTCAGTTCTTAACTTAAGTGTGCAGAGCTAGTGGGATGACTCCCAGGCCTTTCTTCCAATCAAGATATCACGCCACTGTGCTATCAGAGCAACCCTCATCCAAGCATGAAGTAATTTTCAGTGGAGAGCTGATCTGTAAGGGACCGGTGATACAGCACTTCAAAAACCACTAGGAAGGGACAGTCTCTCTTTGGTTTATCCCAGTATTAGTGTTTAGTTTTAACGTTCCATTCATAACAATTTTGGTAAGCCTATTAATCTCACAAGAGAAGATCCACCAGAAGCTGGTTCATTTTCTTAATGCTTGAAATAATTTGGATTTATAAGCCAGAAGAAGATAGATGCTTGATTTCTGTTTTCCTTTGATACAGGGTTGACTTGATAAGGGAGAAGAAAAAATTATTTAATTTGTTGATGATGATGGTGTTTGAATATATAGTCATGTAGGCATTTATGATAACTTACATACTATGATGTCCATCAGGATACTAATTTTTTTTTCCTCTAAAACACAAAAAAGAAAACAAAGGTTTTGAGTACTGTTTTGGAATTTTTGATTGAACCATTTCTGTTTCCTTATGTTTTTGGTTTCTTTTTTTTCTTTCATCATGCACTTTTATAATTACCTTTATTTTGTGTTTATATTTTCTTTGTGCTTCAATTTTTCTGTTGTCACCATTCCTTAATATATAAGCTAAGACTTCATGTCAGAGAAGTAAGTAGTAACTGAGCAAACTCAAATAGTGGTCACTGCTGTTTTTTCACATTTTACTATGGAATTCCAACATATTTTAGTCCTACTAATTGGAATAAAATTAGCAATTTCAGTATAATAGATGATGGCATTTTTACTCTGTATTTTACATTATTAGCAAGATGTAAAAACATGAAGCTATATTTGTTCTTCTGTCATTGACTTCATTGTAGTATGATAGCTGTACATGTGTGCACTGGAGGATTAAAGTACATGATCAAAAGTTTTGGTCGAAAAATACATGGATTGTAAATGGGCATTGGAAAGAATGGGCTTGTTAACACCACCTTTAGTTTGTGCTTTGGCATAATCAGTAGGTGCTAAAATCATGCTCCAATTTCCATTTTCGACTTTTCTAAATCTATATTTATGCCAGTCTGTGTGTTATGTCTGAATACCGTGTCTTAATGTGTAACACATTTTAATTTTTAAACAAAGCATTTGGACAACATGAAGTTAAAATATTTATTAATATTCATGATAAGATAGAATTAATTTTCACCTCATGATGAGTCAAAACCGAGTAACTTTTGTGTTTCAGATAGACTAGGACAAGGCTAATATCTGCTTTGATTTGGGGTTTTTTTGGTAGTGTTTCACTAGTTACAACTTGTGCTTTTTGAAAGAAGGGGGAGCGGCCTGACAGAGTGTGGCTTATGGTCTTGATCCAACACCATGATCTGATGTTGCCTGGCCAGTGAGAAGATAAATAGGCTTATTTGTTCTACCCTCCAAGTGTCTTATTTCTACAATATCTCCAGCGAATTTCAGCATTCATGGGCAGTTTTCATCTCCCAGCATGAGCAGCTGCCTTGAACATGTCGGTGGGTGTGTGAAATCCCTAAAGCACACAAGTGCATTCACGCAGCTTCATCTGGTTTGACTCTTTCTCATAGAGTGCTTCTTATTGAAGGCACGGTTGTCTCCTGGCATCCAGTTCTCATCTGTGCTGAGTGACAAAAAGGTGTCGGCACATCAGCATTAGATGCTTTAATTTGTTACAAGTAAGTTGAGGGAGTCATAGTCATATGTCTCTATTTTGCCTTATCCAGGCTCAGGCTAAGTAAAAAACCCAAATGCTGGTCACGTAGGTATTCACTGTGTTCTTTCTTTGCTGTTGCTAATGTGTGACCCACTGCACAGCCCTGGTATGGGCTGAGCTAGTATTTAATCTGGAAGCATCTAGAAACTGCAGTCCAGGTTGCTGTTTGGTATCTTAGTATTTCACATGTGGAATACTACAGATAAAACAAAGGTGGAGCAAAGATAAAAACGTGGCAGAAGATCAGAGAAGGGACTGAAGCATTTACAAGATGGTCGGTACTGTAGCATTTTTTTGTTAATTTTCCAATTAGAGGTCCTCTCTGCATTATTTTTGTCTGAGGAATTATCCTATCCTTTCCTTCAAAGGATGTGGTGAGTTGGCATCCACTTTTCATTTATAAAGATACTGGTATAAAGACCTTCTAGATAGCTGGGCATCACTTTATTTCATTTACCATCTTAAAAAAAAAAAAAATCCCATATTGGTCAATCATTTTTTGGGAGAGCCTTACCAGGAGAAAAGTAAATATCTGTTTGAATAACCCAGTTGACTAAGTTTTTAAAAATCTGAATACTTTGTAATTATGTAAATTCTACTGATTTAAGTCCTCCCTAATTTTGGTGAAAGCATTTTTAAAGTGATTTTCTTAACAGTTCAAGGACACAATCAGTTATGTCATGTCTTTTTTGCAAGTGTTTATTAAACACTGGCTGACAGTCACATTTCAGCCAGTCCCCTCACTTAATCGCTATGACAAGGCTTAGTGAATAGCAAGGGACATACATGACGGTAGACTTGGTGAGCCAGGATGTCATTCTCAGTCCCCTGTTCCATGAGGCTAAATTTCCTTTCTGCTGAGATCATCCTTCAGTCTTACAAAATAAATAGCTTATGTTTTTACAGCAGTGTGGCTGTCTTAATGTATTTATCCTCCAAAGATAAATGCAGAGTTTTGCAGTGTGCAAACATGAGTTGCTCCAATCCAAGGCTTCTAACAGATTTAATCTTCTAATTAATCCTTTAATTGTGCCAGTGAACTCATGCAAGTTTGCTTTTTAGCTCTTGGATGTATGTAGGAGTTTACTGAGAGGATGAGGTGACTTACAACACTGAATCATTTTAGGAATCATTATCCTCTGGGATTGTCCTGGATCAAAATAATAATAGTAATTAAATAAAATGCTCTTTCTCATCCTCACATAAAAGAGCTCTTGTCCGATGGTATTTCTTGCTTATTTGCTCATATGTAGCCAAAGTTACAGGTCTCAAGTTTACTAATTCATGCTGTGTCTGATTTATTTTCTCTCCACAATCTCTTTTTCTACCTACAACATGGTTTATATTTTTGTGAACTAATATTAATAATAATATATTAGTATTTTAAAATACTAGTAATCCATTCTGTATTTCTAGAAAGAGGTGTTAAAGTTGATTTCTCTTAGAGATAGTCATGAATTCTTAGCTCCTACTGGCTCGTTTTTTGAAGGGCTTTTTGCTGTAGACTTCCAGAAATGGCTCTATGAGCCACTAATATGAGAAGCACCATGTAGGAACTATTCCTACAGACCACAACTATTCTCTCTTTGTTTCACACTGGACATACTAGACATGTATTTTGCATTATTCCATAATGCAGAGTTAACAGTAAAATGGTTTAGGAAGCTCTAGAGGTTAATGTATTGAGCTGTTAAAAACTGTTTCTTCAGTAATGATTTCTCTGTGCACTACTTCCCTTGAGATTAAATGGAGCAACATGCTTTAAAACAAAAAAAATATTTTCTGTTATCAAGCTGTATTTATTTTGTACATCGTACTTTGACATTAGCATTGACATTGAAGGATGAAAGTATATGCACGTGGCTTCTGTATGTTTGAGTCTTCAGGGTCTCATGGCCTTAAAAAAATTTATACTTATGTTTAGGTTCAAGCATGTACTTGAGTGCTCTGCTAGACTGGGTCATTAAAGAGGAAGCACAGAAACATCCGGGATGTAATTTAGCTGAAGTCACTTGAATTGGCCTGCACGTTCTCTTCCTCCAAGCTAAATCAGAAGTAGTCACATTCAAATTATGTGTGCATGCCTTTCACCTTTTGGGCAGTATTAGAAAAAATATTTATTAACGGAAGCAGAAACAGCTCTGTTGAAGTAAATGATTTGCAGTTGCTTTAGCTTATCTCTAGAAGGAATTTGCATTATATATAATAGTCCTGAATTATTGAAGAAGTGCTGTGGAATCTGAAGGCTAGCAAAACTGAAGAGAGCAGGGAGTGACCGTTTGTTTTGCTAAGGCTTCCAGTGCTCTCATTTTGCAACCACACTGCGATTTGCTACAGGGAGAGTTATGCTCTAACTTGATGTCTCATAGAGAAGGAAAATGTTTGACTGTTTTTTTAGTCTTCAGACTCAACCTTAGTACGTGTTTGTTGTACAACAATAAGCCAAATCACTTTTCTTTACACCCAAAAAAGAACACTATTTCCTTATTGATCATTGTAGGAAATAAAGAATGTGAATAAATGGAAAGTGTTAGATAAAAGACCTCAGCGATATAGAACATTTAATATAAAAATACTCAGGTTTTCTGTAGATATATATTTTAAGATTTTCGTGGTTTGTGTTTTGTCTTTTGGTTGAAAAAACCGAACAGAACAAGCAGCCCTGTCCTGGCCTGGTTTAGCACTGCTAAGGATATTTATCCTCAACCCATTAGATACTGTTATATCCTGAGCTGAAGCCACAGTGAAGAACCCAAATAAAAGTTTGTCTCATTGGAGTACAGGATGGCTTTACAAAACGATGTTTGCTGTGAAAAATTTATTGCTATAAAACGAATGAAAAATTCTGAGTGCTGCTAATGTTCAGACCATTTTTAAACTGCTGATTTGGGGAGATAAATAAGAAACATTGTTATAAAGTAGAGGCAGTCACTTAGATGAATAAGCAGTCACTGAATTACCAATAATTTTCTGACATACAGTTAAAATCTCAGTGACAGAGTACCTGTTCTGCTCTTGAATTTAATTTGTAATTACGTGAGATTTTAATTACTTGAAGCTATTTTTCCAAATATATTGTAAGGTTTAACTGTCCTGTTTCCTAAGGCATAAGATTTGTAAATGTTTATCTAAAACGTGTTTCATTGATTTGTGATTTATCTTACTTAAAATACTTTGAATCAGTTCAGCTTCACATTAAGCAATCACGATGTTTTCATGCACAGCATACAAACTCTGTGTACACCTCCTTGGAAATGGAAAGTATTTTCATGTTGTAATTCTTGGGTTTCTCAGTATATGACTGATTATTTGGTTTGGTATTAATCTACTAAGTTGGCAAAATCCATTTTTGTTCCAGTGCTTGACTGGTGAGGAAATTTTTTCTCTGCATGGGATACTGAACAACAGCCACGTATCAAATTCAAGCTTCTCTACAATATGTCCTGCTGTTTTGCAACAGCTAATTTTTCACCCATGTGATCGTCAGGAAAACTTTGTGGATACATCTAAACCACATTCTTCACAAGGTTAGTTAATATTGCATTAATACTGCTACTGGAGTGGGGTTTTCTTAGGAAAATAGTAAGCATTTATCTGTACGTAATAGGAGTGTCTTGTTTAGGAGGATGTAGTTGTAAAGTGGGGACATAAAATTAAAATGCTGTTTCAGTTCAGCGGACTATCTAAACAAATATCCTCTCTCTTAACAGTGATCTATTCAAAATGTTTTAAAGAAAGGTGAAAGAACCAAGTAGGTAGTTATGGAATAATTTGCCCATTAAAGGAAGAGTCTTTTTGACCTGTTTTATTTGGATAATGGTTTATGTCCTGAAGCATAAGGACTCTTGCTAATAGCTGGTCAATAGGAGAGAAGATGGGAGTACAGAAGGGAAGTTTGTGCAGGTGATTTGCAGTGGGAAATCAGACTTAGTGGGATGTGCATGTATCAAGGCAACTCAAGGTAAAATTATTGACTGTTTGAGTGGAATTATTTGCAGGTGGGAGTCATGACATCGAGGGAGCCAGTGACTGTTTTGCTGAGGAAAAATAGGTTCTTTCCAAACTCTGACTCCTGCTTTCATGTAATCTTCTGTGCTGCTCCCTCCACATGGAACATCATCACATGGCTGAGGAGCCTTTAGTCTTCCTTCCTCCTATTTTTCTTACTATTGTTTCTGTATTTATTGTGTACAGAACTGTACAGTAGAGTAGAAAATGTAGGACAGGGAAGATTTAGCTGGTTAATGAAGTCACTTGTTGCACTGATAAAGATCAAATATGTAATGGCCCATTTATTTAACACAATATTCCAAATAAATTTATTGTTCCACGGGAAGCAGCTGAATTAAAAGTTAGGATGTTGGATGAGCAGGTGCCTAGTGGCAGTATTTATGAGCAGAGATACAGCAGTGTTTTTCATAACTTTTGAAATATTAGTATGAATAACATTCTGACTAATATAAGTGATGATATTTGTTAAGAATTATAAGTCATTACTAAAACTTAGCTGTGTCCGTGAATAATTAGAATTATATTTGAATAATCACTGAAACCATGGCATCGATTTACCATAGTTGTTCTAGACTGTTCATACCATATGAGGGCACATATTGTCAAGAAGTCCATAATATCTGCACTGGCAGGTGGGATCTGTCTTTCACTGTTTTTTTTTAGTTTGGGGCTGTTTCAATAGGTTGTATGTGGAAAGCTTGACCTATAGTTAACCTCCTAAGCTATTTAGACCATCCCTCTTGTTTTTCTTTTATCCTGCCAGCTCAGAAGCAATGTCCAGTAGCCAGATAAGCAAGGCAGCCTCTCCCTGCCCCTCCCTTGGCTGCAGCTAAAGAAATCTGCAAGGCCCATGGGTAGGGTGTTTTAAAACCACAAGCACATAAGGCTGTGACACATAGTGGTACCTATTTTGAAGGGAGATTCACAGGAGGGCCCAGTGCCAAATGCAGATGTTGATGTACGTACACCTCCACCCCATCACACAATGAATCTGTACTGTGGCAGCATTGAGACCCGCTGATTTCAGTTATTGCCCATGAAGCAATATCTTCTATGCATGTTTCCAGCTGTGCTTATGCAAATTTTCTGCCCAGGGACTCCAACAGTCTTAAGAATGTTCTATCTTCCAAAATACAAACAGACAAGACATACAGAAGAAATTAGTACAATAAGGTTTATGGGACAGCTACTTGCAATAAAAAAAAAAATGCTGCTGAAGCAGAGTAAAAGTTAAAAGGCAGCATATAGCATGTCCTTTTTCCGTGGGGTTTGTATATCTCATATCTAATGTAGCTGACCTTAGGGGCATGCTCGTGTCTTTCCCTTTCTTGCTTCTCTGAAGGGTAATAGGGAGGTGTATAGAGCTGCATGAAATAGCTGGAAATGCCCAGTGGCATTCCTTCTGTACAAAGCGAACAGGTTCTGTGCTCTCTGCTTGGCTTCTTCAGAAAGGCTTTCATACCCTTATTTCCTCTTCCTCCCAGCACAGGGAAGAGTCTGAGCCTGCCTCAGGGGGGCCCAGAGCAGTCATCCCCAACGCTGAGCAATGGTGTTCTGAAGAGGGCATCTTACTTGCACTCCTGCCATTTTTGTTTTTTGATTTCTTGTGGCTTTGGGTATCTTGGCTGTGTCTTTGTTCAGGCCACAGTTCTAGAGACAGAAAGAATGATGGTAGTCTGACCGCGCCACCAGACTAGGGCGAAGAGAGTGTGTGTCCTAAGTAGAATGCTCCGCTCTGAGGGGTAAGTCAGACTAGCCAGCTTGCCGAGATGCATGGACTCGTGAAAAGCTTAGTGTGGGCAGAGTCCTAGTGAATAAAACCAATTTTAAGACAGCAGTGCATATATGATATTGTGAAATACAGTCCATAATGCACAAAATTTTGGCAACATTGGTGGTCTTGGGATGTTATAACTTTTTTTCCCCAATTTGTGTTATTTTTATTGAAGTATGGGGTAATCTTCCCCTGCCCCCCTCCTCTTCCGCTCCCCCCCCATTTGCACTTCAGGTCTTTCTGAACTCAGAGAAAAGCTTGCCACAAGGGCCAGGGACACCTTCCTGGAGAACGCGTAAGAAAGATCTTACATTTATTATAGTCTTTGAAAAATGTCTTTAGTTTAAACTAGTCCCCATACTACTGAGGCTCATTGCAGGTTCTGTGGAATGCCTAAGATGGATAATACTTAATTTATTCTTTCATCGTCTGAAGTTATTTAATTGCTTATTTTAATTCTTCTACTTTGGGTGAGTAAATTGGAAACAAAATATCAACATGTAAAATCCCAAGTTCTTTGGGCTGTCCTGATCTAAGACAGAATTTGAAAAGTAAACCCACACCAATCTTCTGGCACCCCTAATCTCTGGTGAATCAGGAAGAAGAAAGGCTTTTCCTTTTACATTTTTTTTTGTGACAAAAGGGGATGCTACATACCAGTGGATTAGAATATGTCCCCACTTGTGAGCACAGGTCCTTTAGTACGTTATGAGACACCTCCCATTGCATTAAGTATACAAAATGGTGACAGCTGTATCATTTCTATCATGTGCTTCAAGTTAAGTGTCCCAGTCTGTTTTGCTGTTCTGAACAAAGAGTACCAGGATGAAAGTTAGACCATTTGTTAGTGAAGCATATAGTATCGTGAGAACTTCTCTCACAATTTGACAATTTGACCTGTTTTTCTGTGCTTGGTTTTAAGCTCCATTCTCCTACCTTTTTGTCATCCACTGATTTACACGCAGAATTTGTAAATTTATCCTCTTTATCTTTTGTTGTAAATAGTAATTAGTACTGGCTTTTTTATTGTAATTTTGAAACTTGTTCTAATTTTCTGTGTCTGATAAAGTAATTTGGGCAAGTACACTAAATGCTTCATATCTGATAAATAGGATTTTTATTTTGTTAACTCAGTTTAAAATAGGATTTTTATTTTGTTAACTCCGTTTAAAATACACATTTTGCACAGACTAATGTGTAGTTCTCCTCTGTATACTAAACTGAAAGAGGCTTGTGCTTCTATAGTAATCCCAAACTGTAAACAGTGCTTTGTGACTCATGATGGCATTGGAAGCCCATTTATTTATTATAGATTTTATTTCAAAAATATATTTACAATCTTAATTGCCATTTATTTTAATGAAAGTTAATCTCCTGTGTAGCTTAGTGAATCTACCCATATGTAGTTGTGTGTTTTTCCCTCCCTCCCCCCACCCCCCAAAAATAGCAAATGAATGTTCTAACTGGCATTGATTTACCTTCTGTAAATGCTTTAAATGTTTCTAATGCTTTCTGTTCTTGACATAATACAAAATTCATTACATATAAAAATTGTGACACTGTGCAAACAAAGTAGAGCCATCCGAGTTGCAGGTGAGGAATCTAGCTTAGTGCATTTGCCGGTTGTGTTGCAGGGAAGTTAGGCTGCAGATCATAATCTGATCTGTTAGATTTTTCTATGCAGAAAGAAATTTATAGTAACTTCTTTACATACATATTATAAAGCTTATAATGATGCAGCTTTCTGGGTTATACCAAACTCTTCTCATATAGCCAACATTGTGTTGGCTTTGATTGTTATTTGTGGTTAATTTTTATAGATGAACCCACTGTGTATATGGATAACTTTGTGTTTCCGTGGCAATCACTTGAGGTAGTGGTGTAGACCTCTTCAGTGCAACCTTTGAAGCTTTTCTCTGTACTCACAGGGACTTGAGGCATCACTGGGAAAAACAATAGTCATGCATGGAGGCACAACGTTGTGATGCTTATGAACAAAACCAGCA